AGGGTGTGTCAAATAGCTTTCCCAGCCCTTCTTGAAAAGCCTCTATTGTTTCCAAATAGAGGCTTTTCAAAGACCTTGTGAAGCTATCCTGCCTTTTCCTCCTCAGCAGGGTTTGGTTTTGTTGCTGATGTCGTTTGTATTGTTTGGTAGAAAGAAAAAAGCAGAAGCCACAGTCCTGTGGACATCCAGCAAAATTCCATGAATGAGGCAGGGCATCACATGGCCTCACCTGGAAGCAGCCCAGGAGATGCTAGAAATTGAATCTAGAACTTCCTGTTTGCGAAGCCTAGAAAAGTGCTTGCTCTAGGGCTGAATGAGTATCAAATACTACCCATATCCTGCACTGTGGGGTAACTGGTGCCCCCTAGCTCACATGAACTGTGATTGATACAAATGTAGTCCTACTAAATTGTCCTTCAAGGACATTGTCACAAAGTGCCTACTCTAAAACATCCCTAAATTTCAACCCCCTGCCTTTCATGTTCTTTTTTTAAAATAAGCTAAAACGTTTCCAAGACACAAAAGTACCCTAGAGTTTCCATAGGAATAGTGGTATGAGCTACTTAAATACCCCAAAGAATGGCCCCCAAACAAAGGAGCAAAAGAAGGTTCAATACACCTTGGTCTCTTTTGTGTGACCAGGATTGTTAGCTAAAACCTACAGCAAACAGAGTTAAAATCCATTGAGAGAAACATTTTGATTTAAAAAAAAATAGAGAAGAAGTTAATGGGCCAAGCATTGTTATGCAGATGTACTTGTTTTGCATTACCTCAGAAAGGATTAAATTTTAAAAGATCTGTACTTGCCTAGTACTGAAAGCCATTCCTATATTGATTGAAACTACTGGGAGAGAAATTCAGCCAGAACAAAGACTGTTCAAATGCAGCATTTTTCTTGTCTGGGGTAAAAAATGACCTCAAATGCAACTAATGCTAGGTTTGTTGTTGTTGTTGTTGTTGTTGTTGTTGTTGTTGTTGAAGCAGGAAGAGGGTAGAACTGTATTTATGTGATGTATTTGCATAAAATGTAAAAATGTATTTGTGTAAATTGAAGGATTAAAAATAGAAAGAGAAAGGGATATTAGGCCTCCATCACAGAGGGCATTGTAGGAGCAAGAAGCTTCTCAGATTTATTTCTGTTACAATGAAAGAAATCCTTTTAAAAGTCAAATGCAGGTGACATTTAACACAGCTGAAATTCAATCACAACAACAAAGATCTTCCCCACACTATTACAGGGGATGCCAAGTTGGAGCCTCTTTATTTCACATAGAATATGTCCAAGTACTCTGAACTTTATTTTAACTATACATCACCGATAATCCCACAAATACATAATGTGCCACGCTTGTACCTTTTATCTATTTTTGACAATGTACAGAAACAATTTCAATGTACCTTAGAAAAAAATTATGGATAGATAGATGGGTAGATGTAGGAGCTGCATTTCCAATAGATCCCTCTGCCCAGTTTTGGGGCATTAACCCCCCTGCCCTGCCCCCCCGCCCCCCCCCCAAACACACACATACACCACAGCTCACTCCATTCAGCAGGGGCTCCTAACTGTCTGTGTTACGAGTTTGAAGGGGCTGCTTTGGGAAGGAGGGGACAGGGAATTCCACCTCCAGCAGTGACATTGTTCTAGAATAAATCTAGATTGAACCCATATACTTTTCTGATCTTAAAAAAAATCATCTCCCCTAAGGAACTTACCATCAAATTTTGCCAAGGACAATAATGCAGGGGAGTAACAGAAGGAACGGAAATAAGGAAGAGAGGGAATGCTAAAAATCATAAGCGATTGGATTGTTTTTCTGCTGTCTCTTCTGACTTGTACCGCACCCCAGACAGAAACTTTCCCCCATCCCCCACTATCGATTTCTTTTAAATGCTTTTCCCGGGACTGAACCTTCTGCATTCAAAGTGGGAGTTCTGCCACTTAACTGCAGTTCTTCCATGGAGGCCTGTGTTGGACACAAGAGGTCCAGACTTGGCACACTCTGCCCAATCTAGCATGATAAGAATGAGATTAGCAAAACTAGATTTTATCCTTGATAATAAGTTTGATCACAGCAAAAGGGCAATCGACTCAGAGCACATGGCAGAATCCCCTTTTATACCCTTTCTGACCAGGTAGTGATGACAGGTTTCCATTGATTCAAAATTACTGCCACAGGTACATCTGAATTCAGGTAGTTCCCATGCTCACCTGGGAGGCAGGGCTACCTGGGGGTTGGGCTGGGAGCTCTGACAAGGGATTACCAAATCCCTGGCTGTGTGGATGGCTCTGGCTATAGATAATACCTAGGGACATGACTAGCCTGCCCAGGTTTAATGCCTGCCAGCCAGGTATGTCCTACACCTGGAAGTGTGCAAGTGCAGTTCAGGATATTTAAGCCTGGTTACAGCTGGACATCAGGACTGAAGAGTTCCTGTTACCACAACAGGAAAAACGTGCAGGGAACCACAGGAAAAATGTGCAAGCACCACAAATATGATTAGGGAAGGCGGGTCATGTGGAGCAGCAAGCAGGAGAGAACATGAAAAGTTATGTTAGAGGGCAAGAGACCTCCTCGAGGCCAAGGGAAGTAATCTGCCATGGCTACGAGTCAGGGTTACCTGGAGGGTTTATGGGGACTGGGTAAAAATAATGGTGTTCCCAGCAGGCCCCATGCATGTATGAGGTTCTGGTGAGCAATGCAGCGGGAGTGGGGTCCAGGAGCATGCACAGAAGCAGTGGCAGGGGCTCTGCTTGAAGGGGAGGGGAGGAGCAGTGGCTCAGTGGCAGCACAAACGCCCCCTTTGCCTGCTGAAGGTCCCAAGTTCAATCCCTGGCAGCCCCAGGCAGGGCACAGCAGCCAAACTCCTGTCAGAAGAGCAGCTGGCATGCAGGGTCAACAATGCTGGGCTGAAGGCCTTTATGGCACCCCCATGAGCCAAGACCCCAAATAGCAGTCACTGGGGCACATCAGGGGGAGAGGAAGGCTGGCACCTGCATGTCCCTCTAGAGCAGGGGTTGGCAACCTTTAACACTCGAAGAGCCATTTGGACCCGTTTCCCACAGAAAAGAAAACCAGGAACCACAAGACTCTTTTGACTTCTAAAATGAAAATAACACTGCATATATCTTTTTTACCTTTATGCTATGTACAAAAAAACTATAGTGTGTTGCATTTATGAAACAGATCGGGGGCTGTGCTGTGCGGGCGTGGGTTGCAGATCGAGGGCTGTGCTGTGCGGGCGCTGGTTGCAGATTGGGGACTGTGTTGTACTGTGCTGTGCGGTTGGGTGTCACAGATCGGGGGCTGTGAGTGATGGAGCCGCAGCAGAGGGATTCAAGAGCCACGTGTGGCTCCGGAGCCGCGGGTTGCCAACCCCTGCTCTAGAGGTTGCTCAGAGGCAGCTGGTGGGCTACTATGGGAAGTGGACTGCTGGACAAGATCTGTGGTGTGAGCCAACAGTGTGCCTCTTTCATTAGGGTTGGAGGAGTCAAGGTCGTGAGGGAGCCCAGAGAAAGGGGCTGCTTGCATGCTTGCAGGACATCCATCTTAATCGTTTCCCCCCTTTTGCCACAGGTGGAGAACACAGAAGCATTTGGATTAGTCAAAGAACCAGAGGTTTCAAGACAATCTGAGACAGAAGGAGAGTGGCGTTTGAGTCAGAACCTTTCTTTCAAATTTAGTCAAGGGAAGAGAGCAATTTTCTTCTTCCGCCACTAGAGGGGGAACGCGGGGCCGTACTGCAGAATGCGCCACGCAGCCAAGGCCGCCAAGCCGACGTGATGATGCCCTGATGCCAGTCGACTTGGCAGCGCCTCTGAAGGTTCCCAGCAGCCTATCGCCGCCCTCTCCTCGCTGAGGGATCCGTCCACCACGCAAGCTCCCGCTGGTTGCAGCGGGTTCGACAATGGGGACGAGGCTGGCGAGTTCCCCAGAGCCCCAAGTGGGATGGTGCGGGGCGGTGAGAAACCCGCCCGGCACCCAGCAAGCAACAACACGCCGTGAAAGTGGCACGACTGCGTGCTTCTTCCCTCCACCAAAAAGTGCCAGAGATTTTAGGGACAATGGCCCCTCCTCCGTCCCCGTTTCCTCCCCTGCCTCGCCTCCATCAAGGCAGACAGGCAGGCTCGGTTCTGGCTGGAAATTGCCTTCCGCGCCACCCCGCGCACCAGGAGGCCTGTTTTCTCCGGCCTCGGCTTTGTACCGGGGCTCAGTCCTGGAATGCCCAGCCCCTGCCCCCGGAGCAGCATCAGAAGCCAAGGCTTGTACGTGGTTTTGAAGCCGCGCAGCACGCCTATCCCTGTCCGCCTGGGCAACCTCCAGGCATGCTTGTGTCTCCTCTGAGCAATTAAGTTCCTCCAGATTAAAGCACGATCCTCCAACGCACCCAGCCAGCCAGCCAGCCACCCACCCACAAGCGCGCACACGCGCGAGGGAAGTCAGTCCATGGGCGCTGAGACCCAGAGCGCGCTCCGTCCCCCTCGCGCTTCCACGCTGCCCTCCGCCGCTGTTCCCGCTCTCTTGCTGGCGCGTCGCCTCTCCAGCAGGTGACTCGGCGGTTTCCTCCTCCATCCATCCATCCATCCATCCATCCATCCATCCATCCATCCATCCATCCTCTCGCCCTCTCCCTTCAGGCCGGGGCGATCGTGCTCGGGAATGGGCAAGCCGCCGCGTCCTGCGCTCCCGCGGCCGCCGCCTCCTCAGTTTTGGCGAGCTGCTCGTCATCACAGCCTCGGCAGACGCCGTGCAGTCCCTGCGGCTGCCTCCGGCTCCTCCTCGCCGAATTGAACGCGGGCAGCTCATACGCTGGGAAGAGGACCAGATTTAGCCACCGAGGTCGCAATCCGAGAAGAGGAGCTGCCAGCACCGGCAAAGTTGCCTCTCGATTTCATTCATTCATTCGTTTCTTTCTTTATTTCCAAGAAAGGCACCTGCGCCGGGACTTCCTGCTCGCAGAGCAACCGCTGCTCGTTTCGGTCCTTCCTCTTTTGGGGCAGGGAGGGAGGCGAGGGGGAAGTTTGCCGAACGGCCGACTTCGTTGATTTTCGAGACCACACGTTGCCTTCCTGCTCGAGATTTTCACGAATGGAGCTTTTTTCCAAGGAAACGGCCCTCCTGGATTCTACTGACAAGGCAGCAGGGACCTAATGAGGCTGAGGACGGAGCTGACCGGCGTGAGCGCCTCCGTGGCCCCGGAGGAGAGGCGCTGAGAAGTCACCTTGCCGGCTGACCCACTCCACTCCCCATCAGTCCAGCGGCTTCTTCAAGCCCCTGAAAGCAAAAATCATGGATAGCCGGCTCCGTTGAGCATCTGCACTTAAGGAATTTCTCTCTGACACGTGTTTCTGGAACAAACACGCCCCTCCTATTTTTCTCCAATTTGGCAGGGGTGGAAGTTTTGTTTTTTTAGGGGGGAGTGCGGCGACACCCTTTGACCTGTTTGCTCCTTCAGGAAAAGTTCCTGCCTGTTTTCATTTTGTAGGACACTTTTATGTGTTTTATTCTGTACAAATAAAAGCTAAGGATGGGCAACGCAGCTAGCAGTGTGGAGATGTCTCCAGCAAAGGAGATTAAAAGTCAACCATCAGCCTCTTCACCTCTGCCCCCCAAACAGCCTGCGCCCCCCAAACAACCCATGCCCAGCACTGGGGAACTGGAAGAACGATTCACCCATGTCCTGGTAAGTATCTGCTGGTTTTCCTTCACTTGAACCTCTTCCTCCCCATCCCTCCGCCACTTTCCCAACCGTAACTCCAACTATGTTCCCTTTCCCAGTTTCTGGCTCACTGGCTGTGGAGTGTCTGTCTTTACACCCCAGTGGAAAACTAATGTAACAAGGGTTCTACTCAGAATTGCCATAAGTGGGGTTAACAACAGGCAGAAGTATGAATTTCTCTCCTCCTCATCAACTAAACTGGGAATTAATCTGAGTTGATGCTGCTGGTAATAAATGGACAGCAAGGGCAATGTGAGAATTGCCATGCTGGGCTCTTTTATTCTGCTTAATGCTGTTTGGGCTGCCTTTCTCTGATTCTGTTGAAAGCAACATCTGGTGCAGCTTACAAACTGTCAAGTCTAGAGCTAATACCATGGTCAAAATGAACAGGGCTTGGATGATCATGGATCACATGCTGCTTGGTGTGGAGATTTTTGCCCAAGGAAGAGGTTTGTGACTACTGAATGGGGATGGACACGGTTCATTCAACTGAAGGGGTACACACTCTTTTGTAGCCTGCATCTTCCCAGAGAGGGTTGCACTGTCCTCCTCAATGTTTGCTGGAATTGGTCTGTTGTAGATTGCAAGCTCTCCAAGGTAGAAGACAGTGTTCCCTCTCATGGCTGGTGTTAAATTGATGTTAAGTAACTAGCATCCCCTACTTTAGGTCCTCAGATGTTGTTGGACTGCAGTTCCCATCACTGTGATGACTGGGGGGATAGGAATTACAGTCCAGCACCATTTGGAGATGGGAAAGAAAGACTGCCCTAGCCGTAGCCCTGTCAAAATTCCACACAGCAGTCCCTTCACCTTCAAGGCTGCTGACCTCTACAGCAGATACTTCTCCTGGGCCTTGCTCTGAGTTTGGCCTTTTCAGATCTTGACCTACGTGGGAATTCCAAGGCTAGAGAAAGAGCAACTTGAGCATCCTTTCTGTTATCTGCATAGGTTAGGACACATCTCCACTATCCTGGGGACAAGGAAACTGAACCTGAGTACAGATCCCAACACACTGTAGTTTCATACTCAAGCACCCCGCTACACTCACCTATGAAAAATTTTAATTTAAAATTGAGTCATCTCTGTGTCTGTGGTTCCTGTTAAAATTTTGCTTGCATTTTCCATCTCCTTGCATGAGCTATGCAGCTGCATGGTATGAGGTTGGGGGAGGGACCATGTGAGATCTGTAGCTCTCTGCTTTGAAGACATGTTGGAGTTGTGCCTCTGATTAGCTCTGCTCTCTTTCTCACCACATGTATTCAGTGTGAAGGCTGACTCATTTGAAGAGAAGGGGAGCTGATATGTAGAGGATCTTTCTTTGAGGGGCAGAGAACTGGATTTTGGTCTTTTCCATCTCTACCAGTTAAGAAACATGTTCTCCTGAGTTCTTTAAAGTAGATTCATTTCCTCTTTTTGCTATTTTATCCATTATATTGTGCTTGTAGAGCCCTTGGAGTGGTAAGCATGTCAATCTTCCTCCCCCCTCACATATAGCAAGTGCATCTGTGTGAGTGTGATACCTATTCAGTGCACTAGTGGATGTTAGTTTAAATCAGAGAAAATGCTAGTTGTTTTGCATTAGGAGACACCAAGGTTGTATTCTTATGTATGTGGCATGGCAGTACAAGTTACACAGCAAATGTTGTGACTGCATTTTTAAGGCTTTTCTTTATACAAAGAAATGTACTGATTCATATTTTGCAGATAATGTTAAATAAAAATAGACCACTCTGGATACCTCTAGCATGGTATTTGTGCCCTGCACTATAACCCAGAACCTGTCTTTTTGGAAAAAGGAGATGTTAGGAGCACTTGGGGTCAATTGATTGTTTCCAAATAATTGCACTCAACAGCATCTATGGTGAACTTGCAGGAGAAAAGACTTGAGGCTACAGAGGAATCCAACTAAGATGAGAAGCAAGCTTTTCATCTCACGACCATTCAAGACCACTTTGTAACAACCGATTCCTTCAGTGGTCCAGCATAGATAGCTGGATTAGAAATGGGGATTAACAATGGTTGCTGCTTGGGCTAAATCCAACCACCCAAATAGTACTTTTTACTTATTTTTGTCCCTCAGTTGGCAACCCAAAGATGAGAAAAGTGTATAGTAGATTTGGTGGCCATTTCTTCACCCAATATATCCCCCTCAGAACATTTCCTCAGTACAATGACTGGCGTCCTGGGTTGTAGGATGAAACTGCTGCAAGTGCTGAACTTCATATGAAGTTCTGTTTGACTAAAAATGTATACGCGTTCCTACGTCAATAGCAATGAGATGATATTTCAAGGGCTGCTGCAATGCTGTAGTTGTGCATGGAGGCACCTTGTTCCAAACCCATCTTGCCACAAACTAATCAAGTAAATCTGGGCAAGTCATCATAGCTTAATCCATAGCTAACCATCTGCAACATGGGGACAATTATCTTGACCTTCTGTAGAGGGTTGTTAGAAGGATTACAGAAACCCTTCATACTAACAACAATCTTTTTGCTCAAAGTGACACAGGAAAGTTAGGAAGCAAGTTGCTGAAGAATGAAGGCAAGGTTGGAGCTAGGACTTAGTGCTCCAGACTCTGGTTTTAGTGCCAGAGTTCAGCCTGGAACACATGTGAAATAACAATTAAAAATACAATTTAAAAATCCCCAGGGATAGGGAACTTCTTTCAGCACAAGAGACAAATTCCAATGCTGGCATGTGTATACTTAATATCATCTCTGATTGTCAGTTTGTTAAACTGTCCTTCTACGCCTCCCACTGGGAGTGCAACACCTCTCCTTACTTAATGGTAGACTCAACTGGGGATTCTGGTTTAGAATAGACCCACTGAAATCAGTGGATTTAAGTCAGACATGACTAACAAGTCCTACTGATTCCATTGAGTCTACTTTAAGTATGATTAAATCCCAATCCATCACATTATTTTCAATAACAACAACACCAACACCAACAACAGAGACCTGCATCACAAAATTTAGAGAAATGTGAGTATCGAAGGAAAACTGGTTTGGTTTTGGGAATAAGGTTATATTAAATGTTAAATATTAGCATGTGAACCAATTTAATTTCCCCCCATCCCTAATAAGGGATTATTTTAGAAAATTTAGAGCAAAAGAAGATGACCTGTCCCACACAAGCGCACCTGAGAATTCTTATGTTCATATTCTTATGAAATGGAGGTTGAAAACCGATAGTTTGGAGCAAGGCATTGGTACTAATGGATGCTCCAGATATGGGGACAGGCAAGGAAACGAGTGGACGGTGGTTGGGGGGGAGGGACAGCAGTTGGGGGCAGTTTCACAGAAGCTTTTTTCACACCTCAGGTGGCATGTGGGCTTGTGACAGTGCTGGTGTGTATGTGCTTAATAACATCTCTAATTGCAAGTTTGCTCCCTTTTAACGGTCCCTCTGATGAGTGCGACACCTCATCTTTCTTAATGGTAGTATCAGCTGGGAATTTAAGGTGGTAAATCACAGTCAGCCAAGTTTTCTTTTTGTTGCTGCTGTGCTAGGTAAATTAAAATGTTTCTGTTTCCCTTTCCTCCACTCCCCCTAGCTCATTCTGTGCTGAATGGCATAGCAACAGCATAATTAATAATCAAGGGTGGATGATTTTCTCTCTTTCATGACTAACACTTCTTTGTCTATACTCAAATGTCTGGTGGAGACCAGAAGTGTCTTGATCTGACATTTGGAATAAAAGGGGAATCACCTACTCCATTAACTTTGCGTATCTTCTCCTAATGGCCAGGCAGTGGTGTCTCCTCAAGACATTGCATAGGTTTGACGTGGCCTATCACTACCCTAGGCCAACCGTTCCCAACTGTTTTCAGTCATGGAACCTTTCTGAAGACATTTTTTTTCTGCGGACCCCTACTTCTACCCCTGATTTTTACTAGGCATTGTGAACCCACAGTGTTCTTCCTTCTTTCATCTGCTCCTATTGCCTGAGTGCTTTGCATAATGTAGTAGGTTTGGAAATAACAAGAAAACATTTTAAAAATAATGAATGAATAAAGCAAGTATATGGTTACATCTGAAATAAATTCTTTCAGTTATTCCCAGCACTATGCAATAGAGTCCTAAGAACCGAATGACGTGATGCATTTCCTTGTTTGCTGCTTGGATGCCAACTGACAATCGAATAGTTGGCCTCGTGTGGTTTCATTTTAAAATCAGTTTTAAATTTGATTTTTGAGATTTTTTGCAGAACCCCTACAAGGCTTTTGCAATTTGGGAACACGGTTTGGGAGCTACTGCCCTACGCAATTGTTCATTTTGTCATTCTGGTCAGGACCAGCCTGGGTGGGATCAGTGAAGCAATGGAAAGCAGGCACAAAAAGTCTTTTGCCCCTGGCCACCAATGTAGGTGTCCTAGCTGCTTTTATCTGCCATGGGAATGCAAAGGGTTCGGCTTGTCCTGAGAAGGAGCAAGTGTGTGGCCCATCATGGCTTGTCTTTAAATGTGCTAGTCTAAACCATACATTCCCTCAAGGTTTTGACATCGCTCTGTCTCTCTCAGTTTATAATCTCAACAAGCCTGTGAAGCAGATGAGCTGGTATGTGTACACATGTATGTGTGTGAGAAAAATAATATATTTATTGTACTTGTAGATCTTCCAAGTAGCAAAATTATGGTTGACCATGACTTGCCCAAGGCCAGTTAGTGAGCTTCAAGCCTGAGTGGGAATAGAATTTGGGTCTTCCCCAGTCCCACTCCAGGACTGCCCACTATACTCCATGGGCCTTCATAGACAGCTGTTAAAATAGCTGTCTGCCCTGATTTTGGGTGTTGGGAGGGTAATTCTTAACAGATGAATTAATGGATTTCTAACAGCTGCCTAGATATATCTGCCGTAACCTGTTGCTGTCCTCACAAGGGGCAGAGGGGGATGGGGTCTGTGCTGAATTGCATGGAAGTCAGGCTCTTTCCATTCCACAAGCCAAAGAAAGAGCTGTAAAAA